CATACGGCTTCACCTTTAGCTTTTAGATCCGTACGGGTGCGAGCCTTCCAATATGCGTAGTTGTCGCCGGTCAACTGGGGAAGGGCTTTAATTCGATCCATTCTGCAATACTCAGTACCCCGTGAGATCAAACAAATAAATAATAAACTGATAAATAAAAAGAGCCGCTGAAGAGATAAAATCAAGATACACGGATTCGCCAGATCGAAAGACTAATAGATTAAGTCTACAGGCTCTGATACCAATTGAAATTGTACCGTGATACTTGAAATATAAAAGATATGTGTTTTTATACGTTAATTGAGTTAAGCACCAATTTAGTTAATTAATTAAACTCGTTTAAGCAAGTATAAATAATAACTGCAGAAAGCATAAATAAAAATAAAAACACAAGGAAATTGTTACGCAGTTCGGAGCTCCTTCTCCTACGTCTGCCCAATCCACTATAGATGTTCACCAAAGGAGTATTACAAGAGGTAATTGAATACGGCCTCCAGCCTTTACCACTACCACTCTTTCTAACACCTATCCAGGATTGACACACGAATACCCAAACAATCTTCACAAGATGCTTCAGCAGTACCACGTACTGATCGTGCAGTACAATATAAATATTCTACGAATTAAATCAGAAATTACATTTAACGTATAAATGCTTCGTAAAATCTGAATAGCTCTTACAATGTATATCACTTAAATTTGTCGTGTCTTCATTTGAGCAGCACTCTTTTATAGCACTTTATGAGCTCCCTTTGAGATCCCCAAATGTAGCCCTTTTTCTAGCTCTTCCTTGTTCGAATAAGCCACAGCCACACATTCTATTTCTTTGAAATCTTCACCAGTAGACTTTATTCACCAGGGGACACCATCCACTTATTTTGTAATCACATGGTCCAAAAGTGAAATAATTCTAACAACAATAATTTAATTAAAATTAAAACTAATAAGACAAAAAATAAAATAGCCAATATTGTAAAAATATTTTACACTTACAATTACAATTCTCTTCTAGCAAATAATGAAATTTTACAAGCTAAGCTCAAAAATTATATTTGAAAGGAATTACAACCAACCAAGCATTTTCAAAAAAAAAACAACCAACCATGCAATTCAAGTACAATGCAGTTAAAGCAACTCCATCAGTGTATCACTGCTGCTGGGGTTTTTTTTTTGTCAGAATATATATAAAAAAAAAAAACACAAATCAAAATCAAATATAAAATAAATAAAAGAGCACCCTCAACGCACCCACTTAGTGCGACTGGTTATTTCATTTCTTAATCTTTTTTGGTGAGATCATAAATTTTCGTGAAAATGTAATTCCTCTTCTTTCTCCCCTTTTTCTTCCTACCACATCAACCTTGGCCCTACAAAAAATCCTAAAAAACTACTTATGCATGTCATGCTCTTATTAAATGTCATATGAAAAGAACAAAAAAAATATTCAATTTCCTATTCAACAATTATTATAAGAACTAGCTGTAGACAACTCATCAGTTAATGATAATACGGATCGGAGTATATATTATTAAAATTAAATATTATTTAATTAATTATTTAAAATGGGGTATTAATCATGACACATGGGAATGAAATGGCAAAGTTGACTTTGAAAATGGTAGCATTTCAAGTACTATATATATATATATATATAGGCTATTTTTCTGGTGCGAACCATTATTAACGTGCGAACTAGTGAACCACTACGGAGCATTGATATATTAGATCGTAGGGCTCATAGTTGTAAGTGCACGCCTGTACAGTACACCACGCACCATGGGATACATTGCTCTATCACGCAACTTCCCCTCCACCGTATTTGAAAAGGAATACAACTGCGCATATACAGCCTATTTCTTACATCCATTACGGTGCTGACATCTCATCCTAAACTGACTTTTTTTTTTATTCCCACATATATCCGATTCAATTTACTTACTTTATAATTCGTTAACCCCATTTTAATAACATCAGATTATTTATCCCCTTTTTTTACTGGGTGCACTGTTTTTATATAGGTAATCAAAATGCATCCTCTAAGTGCTCTTTAAAAATGGATTAAGCTTGGTATTCACACAAGACTTTGAGATTGCACATAGAAACACAAACACAGATCGAATAATACTATGCGTTAAAAAATCAAATAAGCCTTATATTCAGACAAGGCCTACTGTTAAATAAAATTAGGTTGAGTGCACTAGTCAATTTGTGGTTTTCATTACAACGTACAGTGCACCGTAGACTACGTAATAAGATTGAAGTTTATTAACTACATCCCTAGAGTCCCTAAATTATGCACTTGTAACCTGGATCCTACTGGTTTAATACTAAGAAAGTAAATAAGATTAGGCTGAGTGCACACCAATTCCCTTGATTTTATTGGTGTTCGGACTGAACAAATTGATTGAACTGTGTGCATTGTTCTAATAGTTAGTAAAGAAAACTCAGTTACTTACATTATGCACTTAGACCCGCTTACTTAAATTCATGCGCACCAATTTTGTATCCCCCATCTGCTTTTCCAGGAAAGCCTGTCGTGGGGAGGACTAAAATTCGAACAAACAGTGGGAAAGGCAGCATGACTATCATGAGAACCAAACGGTAATAACTCTAAAATCAGTTGCATTTAAAGACCGCTAATCAGATTAATAAAGGACGAAAACCCCTAATCAGATTAATAAAGGAAGAAAACTGAATAAAACGAGTAATAGAATAACCAATCCAACTGCACTGCCCATCCTTAATAATAAAGTTAGTATTCAATGACCACAGACCCCTAAGATAATCTAACCAAAATATTCAAGCCATAACTGCTGATACCACTTAAAAAAAAAACCCAGATTTGAGGCCTAATTACTACAAAAATTTATTCCCGGCTGAGACCTGGAGCTGGTCACCGATGCATATGCGCCAATCTTTTACGTTCAAACACCGCAACACGCGTTGCAATACTGTTTGTATGGGCATTAACCATGCTTAGCAAAATATTGTGCATGTAGCGCTGGCGTAAATTCAGTAGTTGCATGGCATTCCCTAGCTGCAGACATCAGAGTCCAATGATGACGTGGTATTCCTCCACGCCATCTGCATCCTCTTCGGTTTCATCATTTGAAGGCGTGTAGCGCGAAGACCCTGCATCTTGGAATCCAGGTACACACTAAGGCACGTGATCTGCAAGTACACCAAACACATTATTAATAACAATGATACCAACTTAAGGTAAGTAGAGAAGGGCATAAACCATTTTATACGTCCGCAATACCTACACAACTACCACAGTTAAAGAATGGTATACATGCAGCAAAAAAGTAAACCCAGATTTTTTAAGTCATATTGAGTCCCCGAACTGACTCCTACCTATGTTTTCAAACACTAAACCGGCAGTACTGCACACATCAAAAAATGGCATCAACTGAGAAACAAATCTTACACATTACCCACTACCGCTGCACTACAACCTTTCACAAAAACAGCTTCAGTAGTGCACTGGATATATACAACTAATTATGTTTTAGAATACGCTGCCCCTATTACAACCCCCTTTTGGAAGACTAAACCTATATTAAACGAGAAACAAATCTTACACATTACCCACTACCGCTGCACTACAACCTTTCACAAAATTGGGGTACAAGAGTAAAACAAAAACAGCTTTAGTAGTGCAAATGATACACCAGTCTTCAAACCTTCAAATCAGCACATACGAATTTAATACTCCAGCTTTGATCTTTGTATTCAATCTCTTGATTTAGAGGTGCATATGATATTCAATAAGTGTTCCTCTCTGTAAATCATGTCTCTCAAAACGTTTTCCCTCAAAGTGTTTTCTGTATATATTTTATCTTAGATTTTCTATATACTAATACAAACAAAATAACAGTTATTTATATTCATCAGTTAGGCTAATTGTTTCTTCTTTTCTTGAATTTCATCTAAGGCCTTTAATCCTATCTGTTTGATCAGAATGGGTGTCTTCATTCAATTTGTTATTGAGTCATTAATTGCTTCTATCTTTGACTTTGACTCCCAATGTCTAAGTATCCCTTGAAGCAGTGCGTTTAACAGTGGAATATTCTATCTAAGCCTATGGACTCAATTGACTCCTCTAATCCTATTTTGTCATAATATTCATTCCAATTACACATGGGGTTCTAACAAATCTATTCACACTAACAATTTCCCCTTTGGTTGTTATTTGACAAAAGATAAACTAAGAAATATACATTCTAAACTGCAATTTACAAATACGGCTAAAATAAAGCATTGCATCCCAAAATTCCCAGTGAGAAAATTTGAAAAAGACTCACCTTTCTGACCTAGTAGCCGCCCCAGCCTCCTCTGTGTCAACACCCTGGATGCTACCCCGACCCCGCCGGAGCTAGTAGGCCGGCGACTCGACCGCCGTTTGAACGATCGGGACACGCATGCAACCTTACGAGACCCCCCCCCCCCCCCGACGGAGGGGTGAGAGGTGGTAACTGGCGGCCAGACATCCCGCGCTTCGACCGGCGACTGATACCATTAGACCTCGCGGGAGTTCGGTGATCGATCGCCTGTACGGTATGGATTGCGGTGGGGTTCCTCGGTGAGCTCGATCGACAAATACGGGAGTAAGTCTGAGAGGAAGAGTCAAATAAGAACAAAACCATTCCCTTTAAAAATAAAAATAAAAATAGAAATAAAAATAAAAAAAGAAGAAGTAAAACACAACAACCCAATCTACAGGGGTTGATCCAATGGGACAAATGCACACAGTGGCCATGCACCCCCATCTTTGAGCGTCGATCATAAAAGAATGGACGGATGATGCAAGTGCACACATTCACATTTAATCCCAAGTTCACATATGAACAGCACTCTATATATATATATATATATATATATATATATATGCAGTTAGTTAGTAATAGTAATGCCAAATTAAAGTTGCATGCACTCAGATCGATCACATACTATATATACAGATCTAATTGAAGAAACGGTGATGAGATGAGATCGAGATGGCTTCTGCTGCTTTGACTTCTCTCATTGCAACTCTAGATCTTGAGACGGAAAGGGTGCCTGACATCCATGTACCACCCTCTCTTTCAGCGACTCTTGATTCCCTGTTCTTATTAAATTGGAGAATTAGCGATGGTGTTGCTGCTGCTGCAATCAAAGATTTGGAAACCAAAATCAAAGACTTTGCACTCCAAGTCGAAGATGACTTTGAAATACAACTCAGCAACTTTCTTCATGCCCAAGACACCCAGTCCCAACAAAAAGCTTCCATGCAAATCTTCGACATCTTGATACAAGCAGATATGGATGCACAAGAGTTGTTAAGTTTCATCAAAAGAAACATCTACCGAGCTTTTGCGGCCAGTGAGTTTCAACCTGCAGCATCCACTAACCCTCGGTTAAAACATTATGCTCCCGAGTCGTCTAAAACCAAGAGAGTTTTTGAGGAGTACAAGATGGTGGGTCGTCAGCATGACTATGGAGTCATAAAGGACCGGCTTTTGTGTCACAACGATAAACTTAAAGTCATTTCAATTGTTGGAATGGCGGGTATCGGAAAGACAACTTTGGCTGTAAGTCTCTATGGAGATCCACAAGTTGCATCACATTTCAAGGCACGAGGTTGGGTTACAATGCCTCATCAAGAATACCAAGAGAGCCAATTGCTCTGGGACCTTCTTGAGTCAATCACTCTAGCACTAGCAGAGCCGAATGAAGTTGAAAAGGGAAGCTGCGGTCTTACAAAGCTAGCAGAACAGGTACGCAAATGCTTGTTAGGCAAGAGGTATCTAATTGTCTTGGATAATTTTTGGAAAGAATGTAATTATATCCAAGATTGTTTTCCAGATGATACAAATGGGAGTTGCATATTGCTAACATCTTATAAGTACTTAAAGTCGGGGTATTTCAAATCTAGCCAATATGATTATGTTCATCACAAGATGACTTTGCTAGGTTCAAATGAAAGTTGGGATTTATTTTGTAATATCCTTTCTCTTAATGGATGTGTGGTATCAAAATTTGAAAAAATTAGGGTTGATGTTGTGGAGAAATGTGATGGACTACCACAATCAATTGCTGTAGTTGCAGAACGTCTATCTAAATGCAATATCATTCTAAAGGAATGGGAGAAAATTGAAAAGGAACTGGAGTTACTTGGAACTCTAGATCGTAGTGCACTTACTCACCATTACAATCAATTGCCACACCATTTGAAAGTTTGCTTTCTGTATCTTGCCGTCTTCCCAAGGCGCAGTAAAATACAAGTCAAAGTGCTTATAAGGTTATGGATTGCTGAGGGATTTGTGAAGCAACCTTGGTCGTTGCATGGTATGTTAGAAGATGAAGCTTATTGTTATTTGGAACAACTTATTTTAAATAGCCTTCTCTTAATAGACAATCAAAGTTTTGATGGAAAAATTAAGTCATGTAGGATGCATAGTGCCTTGCATAGTTTTTGCATAAGAGAAGCTCAAAAAGAGGGTATTTTCTGTGCACTAAATATTAGGAAATACCCAACAGGAATACCGTTGAAAGTGTTTGCAAATTCGTGTCGTTGGCTAAGTTTATACTCACATAATTTTGACTATTATGTGCTCTTTAGAGAAAACAACTCTCGCTCCATCCTCTTCTTTAATGAAAATCCAGAAATGTTTATATCTTTTAAGCTGTTAAGAGTGTTGGCTTTTGTTCCATCTTCATTCCTTCAAAGAGCGCCAATGCGTTTATCAGATTTAGTTTTTCTAAGATACCTATCTGTAACACAATGGTTTGAGGGTCTGAATTGTATAGTGTCAACTAATATGAATTTGCGAACACTTGTTGTTTCTGGTAATGAATCACAACTTGGAGCACCTACTATCCATCTGCCATGTGAAATTTGGGACTTACCGCAGTTGAGGCATCTTGAACTTGGTAATATGTATGCCCTAGATCCTCCATTCCAGATGGAGGATAGAAAGTTTTTACAAACATTATCTTGGGCGAGTCCAACTCTTTACGGAAAGGAAGCATACTGCAATTTTCGAAACCTAAGAAAACTGAAAATTTTCTATAGAGGTGGATCTTGCAGCAATAATAATCCCCTTATGTTGGATAGTATTGACTATTTGAAAAAGCTTGAGAAGCTAACAATTTCAGTTTTGGTCGGCTGCACTATAACCCTTCCAGAACAATGTATGTTTCCTTTACAATTGAAGAAGTTAGGGTTGAGTGAGACTAATCTTCGTAGCTGGGATTTAAGTGTAATTAGCATGTTGCCCCAACTTGAGGTGCTGAAGCTGGAAAATGCCATCCATGGAAATATATGGGAAGTAGATAAAGGAGGATTCAATAAGTTGAGATTCTTGCTCATCGAAGATAGAAAACTCGAGCAGTTGAAGACTTATTTAAGTTGTTTCAAATGTCTCGAGCGCCTTGTCCTAAGGTTATGCTGTTGTTTGGAAGAAATCTCTTGGTTTCTTGCATTTCACGTGGAGTCAATTGAATTGGAGCGATGTCACCCTTCTCTTATTGAAGCTGCTATGCAAATTCAAGAAGCAGGAAAGAAAATTTTAAAGCGTAAAATTGAGGTTAGAGCTAATTAATTTATTTTTTGAATACTACTGACTCTGTTACAATGCAATATCTGGTCATAACTACTTTCATATTTAATGCTCCTTATTTTCTTTACAAATTGTTACATTTTTTTTCTCTGATCTTATCTCCTTGTTTTTGCATTATTTTTCATAGATCATAATTCGGGGACCTGAATATGATGAGTCACAAAATACACATAAAATGGAAGTTGTAGAAGACGACTTCACTAGACCGCCGGCATAGAGGCCGGGAATAAGTGTGAGGCTACATCCATCTGCATTTACATTTGCACCGTAACCCAAATATGCCAATTGTCCAATTCCATCTTTTTATTAGTATGGTAACATCATGAATTGTTAATTTGCTTTAATTAGTAATTACTATACAGTTTAGAATTTTTATCAGATATGCTAAATTAAATGACTAACCACAAGCAAGCTAGCTATATATTTAGATTAATTGATTGATTTTTGGAGTATTTTGGATGCATGTAGAGTCAATGGAAGCCAATGAGAAGCTATGAAGATGGGAGCAACACCTTGGACAGCTAAAGAGTGATGGTGTTTTCAATGTTTTTTATCACATGGACAAACCAAAGCAAAAGGCTAATTCAAAGGTTTCAAGGGTAAAAAAAATTGCCAAGAAATCAAATAAGTTGCATAGGAATTCCGCCTGCTAGTAGGCATGGGATTAACCATGGTTATACCTATACCCGTGCCTACATTCTAGTGTGCATTCTTTTCTGGACAAGGGTTTGGCCTTGGCCATGTCCATGCATGTGCCTACCATGCTCTGTTTGTATTTATGTTCATTTTGAGCCATTTCTACACGGTTCCGACTCATACTTAAACGGTTAAACCTAGCTATTGTTCCACTTTTCCTTTAATATTTTTAGTTTAGATCATATTAGACTTAAATTTAGATTCTTTAACATTTTGGAGGCTTGTAATCAAGGATTTGAAGTTTGGATTTCATCATTTTACTTTCATTTCAATAGATAATTTCCATTTTCCTTTTATCTCTTCGATCATTTGCAAATTTCAATGTTTATATATACTTTATACTTGTGTTTTTTTGCTATGTCTATACTTGTGATAATTAGTTTATAGACTTGAGTTAGGGTTGTATTGTCCATCTAAATGTCATATTCTTGATTATTGCACAAAGAAAATTTTTGCATACATAAGGTTCTCGAGTTTATGAAGAATTTGTGTTTATATCATGTTAATGTTTAGTGTACATTGACAATTTTATAGTAAAATTAGACATGCATATAGGGGTGGGCATTTTTCGAGTTTGACCCACTTAAACCCGTAAAGGGTCGAACCCATGCTCAATTGGGCCAAACATGAAGCTTGAATGCAAAGATTCATAAAAATCGAATCGGGTTTCGGGTATACGAATTAAAAATCGGATTCAACCCGAAACCCGAGCTACTATATAAACATGCTAGGTTTTGAAAATGATGTGTAAATTAAACTTTCAATTCGAGCCAGTGTGGTGTCAACATTATCAATTTTTGGACAATTATGATTCTACCTTTTAGAGTCCATGTGTAGTTGTATTTTGAGTTTTTTTTTTTCCCAAAATAGCCCCTCGACTATTGCTCATTCTCAATTTTGCATTTCGACTTTCAATTGCACCAAATGTGGTTCCTCGACTTTCAAAAACTCACTCAATTCAGTCCTCTGTAACATATTCCGTCTAATCAATGTTAAAATGGAGGGTATTTTCGTTCATTTACCTATTGTATGCCTAATATACTCTGAGAAATAGTCGATGGACCATTTTGGGAATAGTCTAGGGACCATTTTGGAAAAAACTCTTTTATTTATTTCATTTTTGTTTATTTTCATTTTTTAGATTCTATCAAATTAGAATTTTTGTTGATTTTTTTCTCACAAATATCAATAGTTAAAATCTCATAATTCAACCTCAAAATTGAAGAAGTTAGGGTTGAGTGGGACTAACCTTCGTAGCTGGGATTTAAGTGTAATTAGCATGTTACCCAACTTGAGGTGCTGAAGCTCGAAAATGCTATCCATGGAAACATATGGGAAGTAGATAAAGGAGGATTCAATAAGTTGAGATTGTTGCTCATCAAAGATAGAAAAGTCGAGCAGTTGAGGACTTATTTAAGTTGTTTCAAATGTCTCGAGCTCCTAGTCCTAAGGTTATGCTGTTGTTTGGAAGAAATCTCTTGGTGTCTTGCATTTCACGTGCAGTCAATTGAGTCGGAGCGATGTCACCATTCTCTTATTAAAGCTGCTATGGAAATTCGGGAAGCAGGAAAGAAAATTTTAAAGCGTAGGATTGAGATTAGATCGAGCTAATTAATTTATTATTTCCGATTTAATGCTCATTATTTTGTTTACAAATTATTACTATTTTTTTTTTCTTTTATGATCTTATCTCCTTGATTTTGCATTACTTTTCATATATCATAATTCGGGGACCTGAATATGATGAGTCACAAAATACACATATAATGGACGTTGTAGAAGACGACTTCGCCAGGCCGCCGGCTTAGAGGCCGGGAATAAGTGTGAGGGCAAATTATGCCCTGGACCCGTGTCCACAATATTGTGGACACGGGCCCAAAACGACGTCGTTTTTCAAAAAATTAAAAAAAAAAAAAACGCGTCATTTAGTTTATAAAAAAAAAAAAAAATCGCGCGTGTTTTGCCGTTAACGGCGTTATTTTTTTTGGATTATGAATGTACAGTTATGCAATTATGAAATTATGAACACAGAGCTCTAACATTATGAACTTACAATTATGAACATATAGTGATAAAATTATGACCATGGAGCTTTAAAATTGTGAATATAGAGCTTCGAAGATTATGAATGTACAGTTATAGAGTTATGAATGTACAGTTATGGAGATATGAATCTACAGTTATGGAGTTATGAATCTACAGTTATGAGATTATGAATCTACAGTTATGGAATTATGAATGTACAGTTATTGATCGAATTATGAACAAAGAGCTCTGACATTATGAACTTACAATTATGAACATATAGTGATAAAATTATGAACATAGAGCTCTAAAATTGTGAACATAGAGCTTCGAAAATTATGAATGTACAATTATGGAGTTATGAATGTACAGTTATGGAGTTATGAATGTACAGTTATGGAGTTATGAATGTACAGTTATAGAGTTATGAACGTACAGTTATGGAGTTATGAATGTACAGTTATTAACATATAGTAATAAAATTATGAACATAAACTCCTATAACGAAGCGGTCTGAAATTAAAAAAAAAATGGAGATAACAGTGCCTAACAGCACTGTTACCCGTGCTGGACATGGGTCCCTAGAATGAGAATTCAATTTCTGATTAGTTGTAACTGAATGCGATTACAATTAGATAAAAGATAGGTTGACGTGAAACTCTCCTTAACAATAGGGAGCTCAGGCCAACACAAACTAAACCACATAAAATAAAGATATATAAAACTATATATTATAACACTCATTAACACACCCCCTCAAGCTCAAGGGCGGTGAGAGACGACATTGAGCTTGTCGCGAAGGAGCGTGAACCTGGGCCCAGCCAGAGGTTTAGTCAAGATATCCGCAAGCTGATCCCTCGTAGACACAAAATTGACGACGAAGTCACCAGAGGCCACCTTATCTCGGACGAAATGGTAATCAATCTCGACGTGCTTCGTTCTCGCATGGAACACCGGGTTAGCACACAGGTAGGTGGCACCAAGGTTGTCACACCACAGAGTGGCTGGCTCGGAAGGTTGGAGACCTAGCTCACGAAGTAGTGACACTACCCAAGTAACTTCTGCTGAAACATCTGCCAGAGCTTTGTACTCTGCCTCCGTGGATGACCGTGCTACTGTCCGCTGTTTCCTGGATAGCCAGGATATGAGATTGGAGCCGAGGAATACTGCATAGCCACTGGTGCTCTTCCTGTCAATCGGACAACCTGCCCAGTCGGAGTCTGAAAAGGCATGTATGGCTGTCGACGCGGATGAAGTGATGCGCAAGCCGTAACTGATAGTCCCCTTGATGTAGCGTAAAACACGTTTTGCCATGGCCCAATGATCATCGGTCGGTGAATGCATGAATTGACACAGCCTGTTGACCGCAAAGGACAGGTCCGGGCGCGTGATCGTTAAATACTGTAGTGCCCCGACAACCCGCCGATAGTGCGTCGGGTTGTCGTAAGGAGTTGGTGCAGGGACGGCCGAAGTAGTGACTGACGCTGGTGTGGTAAGGGACTTGCAATCAAGCATCCCGGCACGACTTAAGAGGTCCGTCATATACCGTCGCTGAGACAGAATGAATCCCGATGCTGTCGAAATGGTCTCGATTCCCAAAAAGAAACCCGGTTTGCCCAAGTCTCGGATCTTGAAGGTTGATGCTAGACGCTGAAGTAAGGTGCTGATTAACTGAGCATCATTCCCCATCATGATGATGTCATCAACATAGACTAGCAAGAACACCCGAGAAGTGCCTGACGTGTAATGAAATAGAGAGACGTCTGTCTTAGATGCTGCAAACCCTGCAAGGAGAAGAAAGTCGTGTAGTCTCTTGAACCAGGCCCGTGGAGCCTGCTTCAGACCATATAACGAGCGCTGCAAGTGGCACACGTGATCCGGGTGCACTGGATCTTCGTAGCCAGGTGGCTGCTTCATATAAACAGTCTCGGCTAAATGCCCATTCAGGAAGGCATTGTGCACGTCTAGCTGGCGCATCGTCCAGTCAGATGAGACAGCAAGGGAGAAAAGCAGCCGAACTGTGGTCGGCTTGACCACCGGGCTATAGGTGTCGAAGAAGTCCTCGCCTGCTACCTGGTTGAAGCCCTTGGCGACCAGGCGAGCTTTATAGCGCTCTACTGCTCCATCAGCTGTGCGTTTGGTGCGGAATACCCACTTGCAGCCAATAATATTCATGTGGGGTTCTGGTGCAACCAACCGCCAAGTGCTGTTGTGAAGTAGCGCATTGAATTCCTGGTCCATGGCACTTCGCCACTGCGGATGTCCTACAGCCTGGGAATAGCAAGTAGGATCAGTCGTTATGTGTAAGGCCTGAAATTGTTCATCCGTGCCCCGAGTCTGATGCCGTAGACGCATCACATGACCACGGTCTTGGGGCTCCGTGCGGCGCCGTTTTGCCCTGGCACGGGGTGGTGCCGTGACAGCTTGGGGCGCGGGTACACATGCTAAAGGCACGGGTTCAGCCTCTTGCACCGGAACAATGCTGGTTGTTGGAGC